ATGCAACTTGACTGAACATACTGGAATAGCATCTGATAACTTGGGTTCTGTGCAAAACAAACGCCACAATGTCATGGAGCTGACTAAACACTGTTTCCTTCAGAACGGCTGGTTGATTGTTACCTTTTTAATGTCAGAAAGGCTAAAAATACTCCCTTTTCAGGGCGAACGGCTGGACAGTGCAATCACAGCCTCAGAAATTCAAGTCCTGATCGGAATGGACTTGTGTATTGTCAACCTGGTCAGTGACACCGCCTTAAAGTGCACTTTACCGGAGAATGATCCAGCTCCAGGGGATTTCAAAGGAGGAGACACCCAGGAAGGTCTGCCGGTGGTCTGGGTAAGTGTGTTGTATATTGAGCCTACCAAAGGTTGGAGAAACGTAAAATAAATTCTACAGTTAAACAGTCTTTAAGATTAGCAACATTGTATCGAAGTTTGGAAATGTAAGACACTCCGTAATTCTTTCTTTTTATTTAAATGGAACAGCCTCAGACAAATGAATCTGTTGAGGATGTCACTCATCTTGTTATCAAATTTTACTTGTCATCACGATTTGTCGTTGTTGTAACAAGACTGGCACACGTCTATGTTTATGCAGCGTGCACTACGCATGTGCGTGAGCTGCCTTCTGGCGTTCAACCTCCCTAATTACGCGCGCCAATAAACGTGGTATTTAAGCCTGCACATCCAAATTCTCCAGCCTTGTCAGTAAATACATGTACCACAGTCATTGGTCAGTTCTTTTTTGTTTCAAATTAGCAGATAGGCTGTTCAAATGAAATATGACCAAAGGCGGGTTCAGAACTAATTTTCTTGTCCTTTTTGGGGGGGTTAATAAAGGGATTTTGAAATATTTATCCAACCTTTTGTTACATTTCTGAGGGATGAAACCATAAATGTGTTTTTATTGGCTTTTAGAAGGACCAAAAAAACCTTAAGTGGCTCCATGATTGGGCCTTGACTCAATAAAGGGATCCAGATACGACGCTTTTAGCGTGGATCTGCGCACTTCCGCGTTTGAAAACGGGGCTGTATGTGTCAGCTTCAATTCTTAATACGATCAGACGACTGAAAGTAAGGAGTCAAGATACAAAATACATAAAGGTATGTTAAATTCAGACTTGAAAATGCTGCAAATTTTGGTGGAAGAGTCTTTCAGGATGACTCGACACGTAAAATCAAAAGAAAAAATAACGGCAATTTACCGCAAACTAATGTACCTGTGATGGTTGTGTGTCTGCATGTGCAGTGAAGTGGCGTCACACTTACAAACCGAATACTCCATGTACTGTGTCGACTCCGCGGGCGCGGCGCGCGCGACAAAATTCAACACAGAGAGCTTCGGTTTCGATGCGGATATGGGCAGACGACGCTAATGTGAAATCCCTCTATACGGTATTTCTTGTTCACTGTTTATGCCACTTTCGCTGAGTGGCACAGCAAGGTCATTTCATTTGGGATAAAATACAGTGTATCGTTTCTACAAAATATATTACAGTGTAATGTGGAACTTCGTTGAAAATTGCACTTGGAGTGTCATGTGACAGTTCTGATATAAAGATCTTCATGAAGGAATGAGGATATAAGCTTTGTGAGTTTTGGTCGAGGTGACATTCAGTTCTAATTTCAAAGGTTTTTTTTCCGTTCAGGTGATACACAGCAACCTTGAGTTTCGCATCGGGTATATTCGGTATCGCTCTCCAAATCGCGCCCCAATCGCTGTAGCTTCAGTCAGCGGGGCCATTCTAGCGTGCATCCTGTTTGTGGCGTTCTGCTTTGTAGCCAAGGTGTATGGAGCCAAACGAGAGGCAAGACTGATCCTGCAAGACATGAGAGCTTTGGAGAAAGATTTGGCTGATGAGGTCAGACAAGGTGGGCTAAAAACTCAATTTAACTTACTAGGACAACTTGTTTTCTGAAGAATAATCTTGCACAGTTTTCTGAAACCTTGTGAATGAAACAATTATACGAGCCATGTTCTATTCTTTGAATGTTTTGCATTTACAAAGGTTTAGTGAATGCTTTTGAATGTTTTGAGGTGCGATTTTTTTCTGGGTTTAATTGCATCTGATGTCAATTGACAAAGGCCGTTTATGTATTTAAGTAAAACATTCAAAGTTCTGTTGATTTGCAGCCTTTGCTGAACTCCAAAGTGACGTGACGGATTTAACTCGGGACTTAAGCGTGAGTGGCATGCCGTTTGTCAGCCACCGAGAGTACGCAACCAACATGCTGTTCATTGGCCAGGATATTATACCTGATACCGAGGACGCAGAGGTACACAAAATTAGCCCAATTATTCAAAGAATCATTTTTATTCATATATGTATCGCAGCCCTGTAGGACACAAAATAAGAGAATGATACTTTTAATATTGCATCCATCATTTCCGAGGTAATTTAAGTCAAGGCTGCTTTTGTTATGTCTCTTTTTAAAAATGCAATTAATGCTAATCAAGAGTTTTCTTTAGTGGATTTCAATAAATGTTTATAGCTGGGAGTTAAAATGCTCTCTGATGAATTTATTATTTCCGTATGACCTGTTTTCATGTCGCCTACTATCAATTTTGAGTTTAGTATCCCAAAGAGCAAGTAGAGAGGGCCATGTGTAAGTTCTCCCAACTCCTTAGCAACAAGAACTTTCTCCTCCTGCTCATCCAAACACTGGATGCAGAGAGCAACTCCAAGTTGTCCATCCGAGAAAAGTAAGAATGGTTACTTTGGTGACTGACATTGGTGTACGAACGACACTAAATAGAGATGATATTACATGTAATTTTATTTTCTCATTGGACAGTCGGCAACATTTGCATGTATTTTCGTGCATCTGTGAATGTATTTGTCTAAAATTTTATTTTCATCGAACTGCTTATTTTCCGGTCCTTACAATCTTTATAAAAGGCCGGAGTGTAATAAGAACACGTATCATGAATTAGTATCATTAATATCATCATTTTACACAGAGGAACTAGTCTGTATGAGTTAATATTTGCATTTAATTTCAGACAATTAATTGCATCTTTGCTCACCGTCACGATGATTACAGAAAACAAACTGGTCTACTTGACTGAGTAAGTAATTTTTCGACTTCAGCGACGTGTGGACAACAAACTACAAATTTGCTTCAACTCTTTTATCACAAAATGCATTTCACAGCACCAATAAGTCCTTTGTTCGGATTCAATGTTCCTTCCAAATTGCTAGAAAACGAAACATAACTCTCACATTTTACGAAGTGTTTGTTTCCATTTAATCCTGAAATATCTCATTACTCAGTGTTGTATGTATGCCCCGTTTTCAAACTTCATATGGCAACACTGTGTACCTTTTTTCTCCATATTATAGTATCATGATCACATTGATGACACTGTTGATCGAAAATGCTGCTGATTCCAACCGTACTCGTCAGCTTTTCTGTCGGTAAGATTTTTTATCAGGTATTTGATGTAGTTCATCCATAGAGATTAAAGTCAAACCACTCTTTAAAACTACAGGTAAATTGGCTTTTACTTGACAGAACGGAGAGTATTCTGGACAAGCTGCTGTCAAACTGGGTTGCTTTTTGCCTGTATGATCATCTGAAGGTAGGACTTTGCATCCCTTTTTAAGAATTGCTGGTATTGGTCTTTCATTTTTCTCGGTCCACTTGCAGACTTTTTCCGACAATGTGTCATAAACTCCAATTTTAACACGTCTTGTTTGATTTATTGTCGTCGCTTAAGTTTGGAAAACCAATATTAGCTGAAATTACAAAGGTATTGCTCTCTTTCCTTCTCATCGTTCAAGAATCACACCGCGTATCCGCTGTTTGTGTTGTACCGAGCCATCAAGTGTCGAAGTGAGAGTGGTCCCATTGATGTCATCACTGGTCGCTCACGCTTCTCGCTCAACTACGAGAAACTTCTACAGGAAGACGTGGAATTCAACTCTCTGGTGAGCTTTTTGGTTACCCTATATATCGTCGGGCCCTTCATAGCTTAACTGGTCTAATAAGTCATCAATGATTAAAAGATATTTGTTTGTTTTTTTATTTGTAGTTCGGCTACCTTGAAGACCTTCGAAAGCAGTTGTTCTCTTTTATGTCTTGCTCGTAGCACGTTCTAGCTTCCTTCAGAGTTGATTTGAAAATTTGATTTTAATTTCTCTCAAATTTCAATTAACAAATTCGAATTTGCTTCGTCAGATAACTGTCTTCGTTCAAATTTCCTTTCAGACTGTGGTTGTTCTTGTCAATGAAGAAGGAGAAGTGACTAAAGACGTAAAAGTGCTAGATGTTGACACCATCTCCCAAGTGAAGGAGAAGATTATAGATTCTCTCTATGTGAACCAGCCCTACTCTCTCCGACCCAGTGCCAGTCAAGTTAGTCTTGGTATGTCTGACTTTATTACGTTCAATGTACAATGATAAGCCCAATGAATAAGACTAGGCCTAAAAAGAACCAATTTTTATGTCCTCCTCCCAGTAGAATATCTCGAAGAATAGGTCTTAAAGTCGATTTTTAAAGTTTACATCGTATTGTTTGCCTAAGCTAAAGAGCTTTTTTTTGGTCAGGATTGAGTAATCTAGACCCCTATATTAATTACAGGTATTATTTGAATTGAACGAGTAATTTGTGTCCGCAAAACATTCGATGCATACATAGTTCAACAGTCAAACTGTCTATCTTCCTATTTAGAAAACGACTTTTCTCTCCTTAATTAATAATAATTTCAGAATGGCGCCAGGGCAGGAGCGGCAAACTTGTTCTGACTGACACAGATGTGCGGCCATTGACAGATAATTGGCGTCGGATCAACACGCTCAAAGACTTTTGTGTATGAAAGTGCATACACTTAAACGAATGTTGATATTAATCCTAATTTTCTGATTTTATTTAATTAAAGGTATTTAACCTTATCGATGGGAGGCACTGAGCTCAGACACATACAAATTGTGTTAAAAACAGTGGCAAAATGAGTCCACAATCAAAACCTTAGACTAGTCATTTTTCTAGCTTTTAAAGTTAAGAAAGATACATGACTTGCAGAGTTTGATGATGTCTCTTGCTCTCTCATTGTCTCTTACCGTTCTTCTGGATTTTTGGATAGGCTAGGAAGCATAGGCTACCATTTCAAGATTTGAAAATAATCCAGTTGTTGGAATCCTCAAGATTTGAGCCATGCTTTGTACCCAATCCAAACCCGGTATTCTCGATTTAGAACATTATTTCATTTTCCAGGTGTATGAAATTTCTATTGAAGGGTTTGGGACCCTTTAGTGTTACCATCCATTTTTAAACTTTGCTTTGCTGTTCCATTCACCACTTGCCAACTTCCAACATGCTAAAGTGCATGAATGAAATTATTCCCGAATCATGTTTCATCACGGATTGAATGTTCTTTTCATACCACCTCCAAGGTTGGGGACAATGCCCTCATGACCCTGGTTGAGAAGCAGGATGAGCCTAACGCTACACTCTCTCGACCACTCCTGAAGATGCAAGGCTCAGCCTCTTATGGTAAGGCTCACCTACGTGTTGCCTAAGATTGTGGACTCCTACAATGCAAGTCGCTAAGCTCATTTCAGCTTCACGGAGAATTTGTTAAATCTATAGAAAAGTGCCTGCCTAAAACGGTCATTAATGATTTCCTTTGTCTTTGGAGGTTTCCATGTCTTCCCCCATAATTTTCTGAATGATAGCTTAAATTCCTGAGTATTCCGTATCGGAATATGAAATCACAACATCCTTTATCTACACACAAATTTCAAACATCCAAGTTCGTTGAATGTCTTTGTCGTGCACCTCTGGCTGGTCTGATGTAGGAGAGGTCTCAAGGTCAGCCGAGGCAAGCAAATCATTGAAATATATTCTTGCGCTGTGTGATAAGACATGCAGTTTGATTCCAACTAACATCAGAATGAGCTTGAACAGAAGTTTTGCATTTGATTTTCTTTCAAGCTTTTGCTTTTTGTCAGCACTGACTTCTGGACGTTCGTGTTACGGGGACGAAAATGTAGTTAAATGTTTTTTTCTGAATGCATCATTCCCTGTGCTAAATAACCCTCTACATCTCGAAATGCGTAAGAATATCCTGTTCGATCTGTTTATATCTTTGATCTATAGAAAACGCCTTTTTTAATGATGAGAAGATCAGAGGCAGGATGGGTACCAAGCGACGTTATAGTTTGGCCGAAGTAGAAACTCGAGAAGGAGTGAGAGACTGGCATCTGGTATGAAGAAGCGGCTTTATGATTATCCTCCACATCAAGAGTTGTTCCTCTTAAGGCTATTGATTCAAACGAACAGTATTTGATATTTGAATGAAAAAGGCAGAGATTGGTTTCTAGAAATGCACAGATTGGTTTCTTCTAGAACATGTATAGATTACAGGCAATACCGCAGCAATGGACGAATTTGAAAGGTCAGAATCTACATTCCTACGCGAATTAAATTCATGGTCAGTTGGGAAAGGACAAACGACTAACCGACAAATTTCAAGGAACCGATATCGGTTGTTTGCATTGGCAGACACAGGAGGAGGAAGAGGCGTGGCCAACTGACAAAGAGGGGAGTAGGCAGAGAAACCTAAGAGGATACATCTCACTAGATGCTTTCAGCTCGAGGAAGAAAGTCACTCGTCGTAAGATCAGAGAGATCTCCTTCCCAAGACTTCTGTCTACAAAGGTAAACAGCCATATTCCAGAAGATAGTTTGCCGCATAAAGAATCCACTAGCAGATAAGCTCCACAATTGACCTCATGTTAAAACAATGTAACGATAGTAAATTTTAGTTACATCTCTTTGATTTGCTCTTGCTACCTTTCTACCATTCCCTTTCTAAACAAAGCGGAACTTGAGGTTTTTATAGCTCCCTCAGTGCAGTGGCCAAGACTAATTTATAATCAAATTAACATCTGCTTGTCTGTCACTAAGCAATTGTAATCACCCAGTTTTAAACTGTCAAGTTAAATGACAATCTGTTCAAATGAATTAGAACAGAAGCATTCCATATTGTCACTGATAAAACCTCGGTTTCAATATTTATGATCTGATTTGTAATTTGACTTTCAATTATTTGGCTTTATTTGGCATGGCCCACACTGCTGACATCTGGATTCACATTTGACCGGCGTGCCAGGATGCAAACTGAAATTAGTCAGTTGAATTTCAGCTTCAGTCTATTTCAGTCGCGAACAGTAACGTTGACTAATTTTTCATGCTGAACAGGGCATTGTTCAGGAGTATGTTGACAACATGTTCCAGGCCATTCTGTCAGTGAGGAGCGCCCCCAATGCGATCAAATACCTGTTTGACTTCTTCGATAACCAAGCCTTCCGACATGATCTATCTGAAAAAGACCCGGATCTAGTCCATATCTGGAAGAGCAACATGTAAATATCTCAAACTTCTTTTCATCACAGTAACACGTATTTTTGTTCAAATTTTGGGAAAAGGGGATTTAGCCGTGAAGAACTGGGTGTTCATGGTGGGTCCTTTTTCTGAATTTCGGCTTCTTTTCTCTCTTTGTTTAAATAAATTCCACTCTCAGTTTGAACATTTACACTTTGAACCAATTAAATGAAGCTTAATGAACCAACACATCCCTCTGTAATAAATTAAGTCCTATGATGAGGATGAAATCAGCCACGACACTGAGATTCTCGATAAATCAGTAAAATAGTGTGATTAATCACGGTTGATCTTTTTGCGCGTGATTCAATTTTTGTTTTTCTATTCTCAGTTTGCCACTGCGTTTCTGGGCCAACGCGATCAAGCACCCTGACTACATCTTTGACATCCGCCCATCTCGTAGCGTGGAGGCCAGCCTCGACGTCATTGCTCAGTTATTCCACGATGCTCATGACGCCAAGATGCACAAACTCGGTCGGGTAAATGGAAGATGCAAAATGGTAGAATCAAAAAATGGGGTGTAGAAAAAGTTCACCATCGGGAAATGATCTACTGAAACTTACGCTACGTTTTCAACTTCAGGGCCAAGCCAATGATTCTGGTTTTCCAGTATCACACTACGAAACAAAACTACTCAAAGTACTCATCGTAGAATTCAGGGAAACTGGAAATTGAGAAGTGCAATTTTCTCCTCAATATAAAGGACACATCCGTCACCAAGTTGCTGTATGGCAGAGAGAGGACAAAGTACCACGATGACATTGTCTCCTTCTACGAAGAAGTACAGCAGTTACCTCCAGTGCCAACTCAAGAACTGAACAAGGAACTCTACAAAGCTTGCGAGGTAAAACTTTATTAGCAGGTAAAAGCAGAGGCAAACTTTATCAGTAGTAAATTCAGACGATCCTATGCAGTAACGGATTGGAACGCATAATGCTACACACACAAATGTTTATGTAGCGATGGTTAGCATTATGTCATGCAGGGTATATATAGAGGCTTATATCGGTATATAATTATTGAAATAAAAATAGAAGTCAACAGTATGTGTACTGCACATAATATTTTATTGATTATTTTGGGTTGAATGCTTGTTTGCAGAATTTCACTGGTCTTTTCAGCAAGTTGAGCACCCTTCATCAACTTTGGAAACTTGTGCAAAGATTCAGGCAGAAGGTAATAAGTTCTACGGGCTAAGTTCATTCTGAACATATCCTCCGTTTCAGTTTTGGCAGAATTTCAACTACTTGTTTGTTAATGTATCTGCATGGTAGAAACACCAATAAACGGAAGTCATGGAAGTCATGTCACATTAACGAAGATGGTGCTGAACTGTTCCAAATGAACGGTTCAAACCTTACTTGATTAACATTAAGAAACTTTGCAAACGCGGACTAAATTAGCAATCCGTAGTCAGTACTTCCCAAGACCCACAGAGGAAAACTCAAAACCTTGGATGCGAATGATTTTGACTAACTGCTAAGCCAGATTTGAACTGACCATAACCACTCAGCAGCTTTAGTGGTGTAGGGTAAAGACACTTTCTAAAACGTGGTGAGCTTGAGACCCATTAAAGCAAGCTTGTATTTTTTTTTCTCGCGCTCCTAGAAGTAAGTCGGGTTGGCATTATTTCATCAGTTCACGCCGAGGGCAAACATTCATTGACAAGTCCGTGTAGCGCCCTCTGTTGTCGTACACTTTGTTGCAGTGCCAGAAATATAACAAAATACAAAACTGCCTTTGAGTGTTGGGCACTCTTGTCGTTTGACACAGATCCTAGATGAAATAAAGGAAAATGAGCGATGCAGCGAGGAAAACCTGGATGTTTTACTGGAGGAGATCGAGAACATTCTGTCTGAGGAGCCAGGTATCGGAGAAGCAGCGGTGTAGAGGAAAGGGGGGTAACTCAATGCTGGCTGTCAAACCCTCCGATTTTCCAACAAAAACAAGTTACATTTTGAAAGTGCATTTCTGAAAATTAACTTGATTATAAGAACCGAAAGATTATGAGGCAATCGTTGCTTTAAATAGCAAGCATGTAATAAAGGAGTATCTACCAAGGGTGGAATGTTTACACGTTTAAACGAAAAAGTTCCAAGTTCAGGTTTTCAGAATCGTTTCAACGGAACTGCCCATTTTAGAGGTTTGACGGATTAATTGACGCAATATATGTGGCATTCAGTTTTATTGTAAACGTATTGTTAGTTATTTTAATGAAAAGGATTTCCATATTAGCGGAATATATACAATATTAATGTTCTTCAACAAGGAACCAATAAGATTTCCTGTTAACCGAAGTTTACATTATAAGATGATTCATGGTTTAGATGACCATGCACAATAATATATTCAACTAACTTCAGGTCTATACACAGATATTTCATCAAACAGAAAGGAAGCTTGGAACCTTCTATACACCTGGTATGTTGTCACATTTGACAAACTTGTATTTTAAGAGCAGTAGCAAATGAAAAGAAACAGATA